TTCCTAATGGAAACCGAGTGCCTCAGCGGTCCTGATCACTGAGTGCCTACTGTATACTTAGTGATCCTGAATATTTAGTGCCTTTTGTATACTCAGCAATTATAGTTTAGCACCTTTTGTATACTTATCGATTCTAAAAATTTCATGGGTCTTGTGTATTTAGTGATCATGAATATTTAGTGCCCAGATGCCTCATGTTTAACTACCTTGTGTCTTGGTTCTCCAGTCTGTATTATCCTTAAGACCCACTTACTCTACTCACTTTTATCTACATTTACATATTAGGAAATTCATCCATCCCTCCCCACCCTGGCTCCCTCCCCCACTGCCCACGCTGTTTCCTTGTCTTCTCCAGCAGAATGAAAGATTCTAAACAATACAACAAATTCTCCTGGAGGTGGCAGCCAGGCTGAGAGAATGAGGATGCTGAGAGTGGGGTGAATGGCAAAAAGGGGCCTGGCCTGTCTACAAATCAAGAGTGCTTTTTCACTGTGGAGTTTTGAAAGTTCTTTGCATGGTCAAGAGTCTAGTCCTAATCCAGGATGATCACCTCATCTCAAGGTCCTTAAATTACACCTGCAAAGACCCTCTCTCCAAATGAGATCACACTCACAACTTCCGGGCATTAGAACAGGGTCATATCTATTTGGGGGTGGGAGGGCAGGCAGTAGGGGTGGGATCTGGGACATGGAGAGGACTCCCCGCTTGCTGATGGTTTCCAGGTGGGCATACCTGCCTGGGGAAGATGAGGAGGTGCCACCACGGGGGTAAGGCAGAGTGCATGGGGGTGAGGCGGGTGCAGCCTGGCTGCCAGGAGGGGATGGAACTCCCAAGTGGAAGACAGCTGCTGCGGACACAATCGGGCCCCACTGATGCCCTGCCTTCAGTGAGAGAATGAGGAGAAAGGAAGCCTCTAGTTGAGCCATAGAACCTGTGATGGATGGCAGCATGGCTCTTGCTGTTCCTAGCACCCTGGAATGAGACTTGTTGTGACCCCCCCACCCCCAGCATGGGGCATGAATCACAGTGTGCAGGCTGAGCCTCAGGAGTCCAGGGGACTCTATCCTTGAAGGATGGTGTGATGAAGCCCGAATTAGCCTTGGAGAGAGACTATGTCTATGAAGAAACAAGGTACCCGGCCATGTGAAGGAGGCCGCCCGGACCAGCACCTTCCCAGCCTGACTCCAAATAGAACTACCAGGTTAACCCCCCCACTGCTGACCTTCCCTCTGACCCCATAGATCACCCTCTCAGATGACACCCCCCCCCCCCCAGCTGATCCCACGATCCACCCTTCAGCATGGTCATCAACCATCAGCTTTCCCGGGGAGCCCAGCTCCAACCACTGACTTTCAGACCAGCAGCTGGGACCTTTTGGGCTGCTCCATCATCCCACAGGAGAACACTGGCAGATCAGGACCCCAGAAGGGGTGCTGGAAGCTGGGTTAGCTCAGGACAGGGCCGTGGGTAGGAGAGGGTGTCCTGGAGGGCAGCGTTGGCCTGAGGGGTGGTCACGGGCTCCACTGTCTCAGGGAGGAGGGAAGTGCCAGGACCTGGCCTCCCCAGAGACCTGCCTGGGACCAAACCACCCACGAGGAAGGAAGTGGGCAGAGGGGAGGATGCAGTTTTCAAGCTTTTGCTGGGTTGGGGGAAGGGGCATGGGAGAAAAGGCAGAGCCTTGATGAGGTTTGGTGAGCCATGCATGGAAATTGTCCTTCCTGGAGCACAAGGGTAAATTCTGACGACCAGGGCTGGGACCTCCATGTGACAGAGCAGTGTGTGGGCAGAACAGCTCAGGTCAGCCCAGACCTGACAGCTCTCAAGCTGTGACCCAATCCACCTCAAAGCATGTCTCCTAATGCTGTTATTCAAGCTCTAAGCCTATGCAGAAATCAAGGGGGTCCTTAATGCTTGCTCACTTGAGAGATTCTTGAACACATCGGCAAAAAGACGAGAATGAACAGATGTGGGGCTAGGGCTGGGGACAGACCCTTGCCTAGGAGAGGGGCCTAGGTGAGTGGAGAATTTCAGAGCTGGGAGCAGTTCCCTGGCAGTGGGTATGGGTATTTTTGCCTGCTTCCTGTGGGACCTTGTATGTCTTTGGTTCACCTTTGTCAGTAAACTGTCACACCACAGGGACCCGGGGAGAATGACAGAGATGATCAGAGGATGGGGAAAGGGGGCATGTGAGTTGCCACAGCAAGCACAGAGAAGGCGTCAAAGCTCTGTAGAGGCTGGAGGTTTCCCTGCCATCCTCCCTCCTTCCCTGGAAGTTCCTGGCCACCACTAATCTGCTTCCCATCTCAATGGCTCTGTCCATTCTGGCTGTTTCTTACAAATGCAGTCACACTTTGTGTGGCCTTTGTTTTCTCACGGAGCTTAATGTCTTTGAGGGCCATCCATGTGGCAGCATGTACCAGTGCTGTTTTGTGGCTGAATGGCATTCCATTGATTGGACAGAGCACATTTTGTTTATCCTTTCACTTAGGCTGTCTCCAGCTTTGGGACATGAGGAATAACGCCACTGTGAAAGTGCGTGTGCAAGTAACTGAGTCCTTATGTATACCTGGGAGTGCAATTGCCAGGCCACATGGCGCTTCCTTATTGAAGCGAGGGTCTGAGGGGTGCTCTCCTGCAGAGGCAGGCAACTCTGGGTATTGCATCACATTCTTGAACCAGATAACCCCTGATAGATGACCAGGCTTTAGACCAGACCTGTCCGCCTGACCTTTCCACAATGATGGAGCTGTTCTACACCTGTGCTGTTCCATGTGTGGGGTGTTGGTCACACGTGGCTAGGGCAGCTGAGAAACTGCATCCTAGAATTTAATTTAATTATTTAATTTCACTCTTTTTTTCAAAGTTTTGTTTATTTTGAGAGAGTGTGCATTCACGAGGGAGGGGCAGAGAGAGAGAGAGAGAGAGAGAGAGAGAATCCCAAGCAGACTCTGCCCTGTCACAGCAGAGCCTGACTTGGTACTGTCTCATGAACCCATGAGACCGTGACCTGAGCAGAAATCAAGACTCTAAGACTCAACCGACTGAGCCACCCAGGCACCCCTTGTATTTAATTTTAAATTTAAATGAAAATTGAATTGCCCTTCGGGCACCTGGGTAGCTCAGTTGGTTAAGCTTCCAACTTCTGCTCAGGTCATGATCTCATGGTTAGTGAGTTCGAGCTCCCTATCAGGCTCTGTTGGAATTCTCTCTCTCTCTCTCTCTCTCTCTGACCCTCCGTGGCTCACACTCTCTCAAAAATAAATAAACTAAAAAGAAAAGAAAATTGAATAGCCCTTGCTGCATGATGTTATCTCTGGTGTACAGCTCAGCATTAGAGATAACATATGAAGGACTGCTTCTGTGAGCATCACCCATCTCACTGTCTCCCTCTTGGCGTCCCATTTGAGGAATTAAAAATTGGGAACTCCGTGGAGATACGTGGCATACCTGAGCTCCCTGCCCCTGAAAAACCTTTCCTAAATATCACTGAAGGGTTTGACAACATACAACGACCTACATCAATATCCGTGCATAAACAGATTTAACCCAGAATTCAATATAATGGGTCCCCCTCCAGAAGGTTCTGTGGTCTCTTGGACAGTCTTGCTTGTGTCCCAGAAATGCAGCCCACTCAGCAACGTGGTCCGCTACCTACGTCTGCTGCAGAAGAATCCTGTGTTTAGATGCACAAGGACAGAGCAGGGCTTGTAAATCCTTGGTGCAAATACTTTCACAGCACAGCAATAGGCTATTTTCTTAAGACCAGCAGATGTGCAGTTACCTCCAGATGGTGTCTAGGGAGCCCTGGTTTGAGTAGACCTAATTTTAGTAAGTTTAATATAAATTATGTAATATTCCTGAATTGTGTTACAGGCCTGCATTTATTGCTATATAAAAAAATGAAAATGGTAAGGATCTTGATACTAGGAATAACTAGCAGTTATCAGATTGTGTGTGTTTGTTTGTGTGTGTGTGCGCACACCAGACATTGTTTTAAGTGAATTATGAATTAACCACTTTATTATGAATAAACCCCCCTCTCGCATGAGGTGGGTGCTATTCTGATGACTTTGCCAGGACCTTTGGGGAAATCCAACTCCCCTTTATTCCAGAATGTGGAGCTCATGAACAGTCATCTTCTGAAATATCCACTCATATATTACATAATCTAACCCTAACAACCTGGTTTTCTTGACCAAAATCAATATATGAATTATTTTATTCTATAACTTTGGCTATTCCCTTAACTTAGGTGAAGGGATTCGGATTAATGCTTGAACCCAGATTGAACAATTTAAATTCTTTGGGTCATTCTATTTATGGTAAGATTTTCCTTAAAAAGTTGACACTTCCTTTAAACATCTAATTTTATTCTTTTTAACTGTTGTAAACACCTCTGGAACACAGTCTTTCCAAGACCATCATCTCGGGATCAGATCTCAATTCCCAACGACCTCATGGTTCCTAAAACTTTGCAATAGCCACTCACTCAAGCACCATGCCTTATGAATGGAAATCATTAACCCGTAAGAACCTCAGACAGCAGATTCTAACTTGATTTATTTTCGATGCCAGATGAATCTGGCCGGTTACCCAGGCCTGGGATAAGCAGACAGCCTGTACTTAGGTATCTAGATGTGACTGAGCGACTCTTTGCAAAGTCCAAGGCAACTTGTCACCGATAACGATAGATCCCTTCACGGTGAGTGGGACTAAGGCCCCAAGAAAAGCTTAGGGGGGATATTCAAACGCAAAGGACGGCCACGTGTCCGGTGGCATTCCCTGCGGCAAACGAACACGCGAGCCCACGGTGCGCGTAGGCGCGCCCGGAGCGTGCCTCGGGCCGGCTCCCCCGTGCGCCGGGAGGACGCAACCCTGGCAAGGCAAGGCTGCGTGGTCAGTGCGGCTCTTTTCTTGAAACTCTGGGTGGCTCTGAAAAGAGCCTTTGGTGTCACGGGGCCCCCGGGGCGCAAGGCCGTTGCCGGCCCGCCTCCGCAGCCTCACTTGCCCTTAGCCTTGTGGTGGCTCTCCGTCTTCTTTGGCAGCAGCACCGCCTGAATGTTGGGCAGGACGCCGCCCTGCGCGATGGTCACGCGGCCCAGCAGCTTGTTGAGCTCCTCGTCGTTGCGGATGGCCAGCTGCAGGTGGCGCGGGATGATGCGCGTCTTCTTGTTGTCTCGGGCCGCGTTGCCCGCCAGCTCCAGGATCTCGGCCGTTAGGTACTCCAGCACCGCTGCCAAGTACACCGGCGCGCCGGCACCAACCCGCTCCGAGTAGTTGCCTTTACGGAGCAACCGGTGCACGCGGCCCACGGGGAACTGCAGCCCCGCGCGCGACGAGCGAGACTTGGCTTTGGCGCGCGCCTTACCGCCCTGCTTGCCACGGCCGGACATTGCCAAGTCGGGCACGGAGAGAGAAGAGAGGCGAGAAAACAGACCCGAAGTAACGAGACCCCCGCGCCCACTGAGCCCTTATATATGGTCCGGAGGTAGTGGAGTTAACCTCGTCTTATTGGACAGTGATGGAGACCAATCAGAAAAGGAGTTCGCCATCCTCTAATTTGCATGCACCTTTTCCAGAGATTACGTTACTCGCCGTTAGAGCCTATCAGAAACAACGAACTCTGAATCCTTCATTTGCATACAGGATGTATAAATATAGTTGCTGGGGCCTGACTCTGTTTTTGTTTGGAGAGATCTGCCATCATGCCTGATCCGTCCAAATCTGCTCCCGCGCCCAAGAAGGGCTCTAAGAAGGCCGTCACCAAGGCGCAGAAGAAGGACGGCAAGAAGCGCAAACGCAGCCGCAAGGAGAGCTACTCCATCTACGTGTACAAGGTGCTGAAGCAGGTGCACCCCGATACCGGCATCTCGTCCAAGGCCATGGGCATCATGAACTCGTTCGTCAACGACATTTTCGAGCGCATCGCCAGCGAGGCCTCCCGCCTGGCGCATTACAACAAGCGCTCGACTATCACGTCCCGCGAGGTGCAGACGGCTGTGCGTCTGCTGTTGCCCGGCGAGCTGGCCAAGCATGCTGTGTCCGAGGGCACCAAGGCCGTCACCAAGTACACCAGCTCTAAGTGAGGCGCGCCGGGTGCCCCGGAACCCAAAGGCTCTTTTCAGAGCCACCCACACAGTCGAAAAAGGGTTTCGAACACGGTGAAGGGCTGTCCTGTGAACCAGTTTTGTTCTGTGCACTTTAGTGCCTTTCTGGTTATTGGATCTGTGTGTGCGTGCGCCACTGTGTATGTGCGTGAAATGCAAGAATGTAATTGTAACTTATTAGAGGGCCGGGGTGGTAACTGGCCTGGAGGTCGAGGATCCCGTGTCCCCCCAACCCCTCTGCCCAGAGCTATTGATGCATTGCCAGAGGAAACGGGCCTTGAGCCCTCCGTCCTTTGGTGGCTGCAGAGTGTATCCCCGATGCTTGCGCGCGAGGACTCCCAGGCCCAGGCCTGTCTGCGCGTGGCGTGAGCCTGTTGGTGAGGGGTGCGGGTCACCTCTTACAGGAGATGCCAATCCCCCAGCCCCAGTGTCCCTGATGAATGAGCCTGGGAGGTGAGGTCTCGCTTGTTGCGCGGCTCCGGGCGGTAGCTCCGGGAACTGCATCCCTGCCTGGACCAGACATCTTGCTCCTGAAGCAGTGAACATTTCCGGGAGGATGCTTGTGTGGCTGGACCTTGCAAAGGCAGAATGTTGGAAACCGAAAGGGAAATGGAAGCTTCCTGTGCGCGGGAGCCAGATGTAATAAGCCAACCCCTGCTGCGGGTAGCTTTAGCCTATATGGGGATGAGGGAGAGCATTTCAGGAGGAAAGTAATTACCCTTTTCTGTAATTCCCCCTTTTCTTGACAAATTAGCTCTCTTTCGGCCACATTAGTTTCTGTGATGCGTTAGTGACGCAGAAATTCCCCCTTAGAATTTATGGCGTTTATTTGGGAAGATTCATCCTGGCTCAAGGAAAGCACTTTGGCATGAAGAGACTTTACTTGGGAAAGGACGACGCTTCGGCTTTTATTTGTAAATAGGGGATTCCTAACAAGCACTTCCTTGAGCCGCTCTGAGATTTAGATGTATTGAAAGATCGTGTCATCGGCTCAGGCAAGGACCAGACATTCTATGAAAGATATCAGTCGTGTTTTGCAAATTATCTCCAAAGGAAGCCGGTCGGGTGCCGGGCTGGTCAGGAAGGTCTGGGAACCTCACTGCCCGAGCGCCCTCCGCCCCAGCGGCTGAACGCCAATCCATCCTGTTCCTTCTCTTGCGTGGGTCCAGTCTAAAGGAATGTAAAACCTGACACGTTTTTCATTTGGTATCTAAAATATTTTTATCCTTAGTTGTAATAGGTACAAGGGCGCAATTCCCAACATAGGACGTTGTAAAAAGCAAAATGGTGAACTCAAAAATTAAAAGAAATTTTTAAATATGTATTTTTAAAGTTCTTGAGCTTTGACAAATTTTCAAATAATGCTGTAAAAATTTTTTATTGAAATATGGGTGACACACAATCACATCAATCTTTTAAAGGTATCTATTGAAATAGCAATTCGATACCATAATCAATTCAAAGAACACATGATCAAATTCTTCATTAACAGTGAGATAGCCTAGATGGTCCTTTTTCCCCCTCTCTGAACTCATTCCCATTATACTGCTTCAGAATTTCATCCAAATGTAAGTTATATTTTATTTTTTATTTATTTCTGAGAGAGGATGAGAGAGACGGTGAGCAGGGGAGGGTCAGAGAGAGAGGGAGATACAGAATCTGAAAGAGGCTCCAGGCTCTGAGCTAACTGTCAGCACGGAGCCCGACGCGGGGCTAGAACCCATGAACCGTGAGATCATGATTTGAGTCTAAGCTGGACGTCTAAGTCTAATCGACCGAGCCACCCAGGTGCCCCTGTAAGTTATATTTTAAAGTGTTTTATCTATTACCTTTCATTAAAAAAAAATACTGTGTAAATTGACATTTAAAAATCCTTGCAGGTGACAAAAAGTGTTTTAAAAAAATCATCTGGGCAGTACACAATTGTTGAAAACAAGTTTTGATAGCTAACTATCAAAGATAGATGATTATGAGTAATTCTCAAACAGTTTTAGTGAAACCTACCTCATTCAGTGGGATTGATGGTGGTTTTTATTGCCTCCGTTTATGCATCAGTGAACATATACAGTATTGTTATGCTTACAATGATAGCAGCATGCATCGTTTCATTTCCATTATTATCTTCTACAGATACTCTGAAGCAATATTTACAAAAACGAAACCAAACAACACAACCCATAGATATGTAAGTTTTGTCACAGTTATTTTTACTCAATTCTGTCCCTTCTAGTTATAATCCCCAAATTTGAAAACGTTGATCTACAACACCTTTGATATTGATCAAAATCTTCCCAAGAGCTGTCTAATTCATCTTGACAATGACAGCATCCAGTCCTACACTACAAACCAGGGGCCTCCTGATTGGATCTGAGCCCTCAGCTACCTACGGGAGGAAGGAGATTAGGCATCAGTATCTTAATGAGCACTTCTGGTAACAGGAAACTAGTGTCCCAGATCCAGGCGATAGCAGTGGGCAACCACACGGTTTATTTAGTCCTTAAAATAAAATCAAGAAGCAAAATAAACATAATTCCCAAATACAGTTGCATGAAAATGGTTTGTTGTGGGTAATGCAAAACGGTGATTAATTTTTCAGTCCCTTCACTCCTCAGACACACGGAATTAGCGTGAAGAAAAAAAAAAAGCAGAAGACGACTGCCTCTATTTGCTGAACAGTGTAAAGGATGCTGAGGCAGCCCCAGAGGAAGAATGGGGCTGATCAGGCCCTCTCCTACCACCGGGAATCTATTAAGGAAGATGCAAGGCGACAAGAGTCTCTGCACTTGAGAATTTATAATGAACAAAATAGAGAATCTGAATACAGAGTCCAGTCGGTAATACTACTACAACAAAGACAAATGTTATGTGCATTAAATTGGAGGCTGAAGGAAGGGGTTCATGGAGTATCTGAGAATGCCTAGGGTCACAGAGTAAGGACTCAAGACAATGGAAGAGTTCCCTGGGCCAGAAATAACCAAAGTAAACATTTAGACTAAAGCTCTGGAGGGCACTGGAGGGATTTTGCAGGCATCCCATCTGAAATGTATTTAAGAAGGGCACCTGGGTGACTAAGTCAGTCAATCCTCTGACTCTTGACTTTGGCTCAGATCATGATCTCACAGTTCATGAGTTGGAGGCCAGCATTAGGCTCTGTGCTAGCAGTGTGGAGCCTGCTTAGGTTTCTCTCTCCCTCTGCCTCTGCCCCTCCCCTGCTTGCTCTCTCTCTCTCAAAATAAAAATAAACTTTAAAAATAATACACATTTAGGGGTGCCCGGGTGGCTCAGTCAGTTAAGCATCCAACTTGGGCTCAGGTCATGATCTCAAGGTTCGTGGGTTCAAGCTCCACGTCAGGCTCTGTGCTGACAGCTAGCTCAGAGCCTGGAGCCTGCTTCAGATTCTGTGTCTCCCCCTCTCTGACCCTCCCCTGCTCACGCTGTCTCTTTTCCTCTCTCAGAAATAAAACATTAAATAAATAAATAACACGCATTTAAGAGACTCTCCCCTCCCCCCATCTCAGTCAAAAATTTCAAGTCAAATTTGCTAATTACTACGGAGTAAACTAAAGATGGAGAGGGAGGGGCTACCTCTTTAATAACAAACTACAAATGTAAAACAAGGAATTTAGTGTATGAGACTAAATGTTGATGAAAGCCTGACAGTCTGAGACGGAGTCCCTTAGGGGCCATGAATCGGAAGGCTACTGGCCACCTCAGGGAACCGAGCAGGAAATCCAAACCCTGGTAACTGTTTGGCTTTCAGAGACTGGAGCGCTCTTAAGATTAGGTGATCTTTGTAGTGTGGGAGTCACCAATACCGTGGGGTGTTTTTCAGTGTGAGAGAAGTCTGGACCCCAGTCAAGCGTGGTGATTCAGTTATAAAGCAGACAAATTATATCCACCTTGCACATGGTTTACGTGTGTGTTTGTTTAAGTTTTTTTTTTTTAATGTTTTATTTATTTCTAGGAGAGAGAGAGAGAGAGAGAAAGAGACAGCATGAGCAGGAGAGGGTCAGAGAGAGAGGGAGTCACAGACTGAAATAGGCTCCAGGCTCTGAGCTGGCAGTCCGCACAGAGCCCGACGCGGGGCTCGAACCCACGAACCGCGAGATCATGACCTAAGCGAAAGTCGGACGCTTAACCGACTAAGCCACCCAGGCGCCCCAATGTGTGTGTTTGTTTAAAGCGCTCCATTCGTTTTGTCAAAAAGGCTCTTTTACCGTTTACTAGGCTTACGTAAAGGTATATACATTTTCTGAAAAAACAAAGACAAAAACAAAACAAAACCC